CACTTCTCTATGGAAAATGTAAGAATCTGATGTGTATATTTCTTCTACTTACAGGATGAAAACATAATGCGTTCCATGCAGCTCTTTGAAAATGTGATTTAACAACATGGTTTACTCTGCAATTAATGGACAAATGTGAACTATTCTTCAACATTATTAAAGCTGGATTTGCCACATTTACCATATGTAGGATTGCTCAGCTTTACACTGAGACATGTATTATGCAAATAAGTTTTGTTTTATTATAAAGCCTTCCTCCCAAAAATGATTTCCCAAAGGTTAGGAATTAATCATTTGTCCTTTATTTAACTAATGGACTATTCTAAAAATATTAGGTATTGCCCCCACATTTCTAAAAATAGCATAGCATCTGCCATTATATAGCTTTATTATCATTCCAACCCCTAGATAAAAGAGGCTTTAACACATGGAAATAAAAATGGTTGTTTTCTGATATTACCATTGGATCAAGTTCCAGAATCCCCAGCGTCTTAAAAATCCTTAAAGAGCGTCTTAGCCTCTATTTTCAGAGAAATCACCCTTTATTTCTTTTCACATTTGTATGGTGTAATAATCATTTTAATATAATGCTTTTGAATAAAAATTGTTACAGATAATGAGCCATACATATCTTCCTGCAACAACATCAAATTGTATTTGGCTTTCTTTCCTCTTTTATTGAAACCTAGCTAATTTACATAAGAGGAAGAAATCTTTTTTATAATAAAAAAATTTATGACTCAGATAGACATGTACCACTGGTAGGCATTAAACACATCATCCTTACCTAATAAATCCGCATTTATGAATTTTTCATGAAATGAGTACATGAAGTCCTATATATTGTATTTGTAATTCTGGTTGGACTGTCAGTAAAGTTTTCTGCTCAAAACTAAGGACCTGAAAAGGTTTGGAGTTCAAAGTTCTTTGTAAAGAAATTCAGAGTGGATTTCCAGAAGTACATGTCTTACCAGTTTTAATGAGGAAAAAAGGAGATAATGGTCTTTTGAGGCTTCCATCTCACTTCAGTGCTCAGAATGCAGTAATATCTAGACAGTCTAATATCTGTTTCAGTGGTCTGTTTACTATGAAAAGGGAGTGAAAAAGAAGCAAAATCTTTAGCTATACCCCAATGTTTCTTGTTAGCAGTAATATTATTACATTTTTTAGGAACATTAATTCTATCAAAGTAGGAAATACTTTAATTCTGGACTTAAAAAAATTATAAGTGCACAGACCTGAAAGGTGAAAAAGGATTATCTTTCGCTAATCACAATTAAGAAGTAAAAATGACTATACTATTGTTTTCAATGATTCCAGGCCAATACTTAGAAATGCAACTGAAAATATGGCAATCTTTATTGTGACATTTCTGCACAAAAGATGTGAAGGGCCTACTAGAGTAGAAAGAATGCTGCAATCATTATTTTGCAAAAATAAATCAGGTATCTATTCTGGTGTAGAGATGGAATGTTGAAGGCTGCTCTGCTATCACCAGTGTAGGAATAAGAGTAGTACAGTACATGTACACCTGAAATTTGCTGTAGTGTGTCTGCGTAAATTAAATGTGCACATTTTGTAAAAAAAATAAAATAAATTACAAGAAAGAAAAACATGCACACTGTTTTTTGTTTTTTGAAAAAATGCTAGACTACAGACATGTATTTAATACTTAATTCAGGATGCATGGTTATTTAAATAGTAAATTTTGTTAAACTGTTATTTCAATACTGTGCTAAGATTTAAGTTCCTCATGTGACAGTTTTTAAAATAAAGAGTGACTGGGATGGAATATGAGAAACAGTATTCCAATATCAAGACCTGATTTTTACACTATTTACACTACTAGCGCAACATTGTACAAGTAGTTTTAAATCAGTTCTTTTGTGACAGAAAACTCCTTTTCATTTCCATAACACTTATCATGGAAATAAATCATTACATATTTATTTTTATATAGGTAAAATTTGCAAACGTACTTTAGCAGTGAGTTAGTTACTGCTTAATTAATAATTACAATCAAATGTTACTTTTTAAGTAATATTTAATAATCACCACCGGTGTGGCAGAATTATTAAAGGAAATAGTAATGCATAGCAAAAATGAATTAACATTTACTTTGTCTACACCTGAAACAACAAATGATAGTCAACCATTTATTAACTGTAAACATAAGATTGGCCATACAAATAGATTTATATACCAAAATTATATAAATGTTTGCCATAAGTACACTTTATCACAAGATGTTATGCACACATTTACTTCATCTTCATTTTTTCTCTCAAGCCAGATTACCCAATATTTGTGGTTAGTTTTGCTAAAATAAATTGTACCATAAGGAAATTCCAACAGCATCCACAGTCAACTTCTGGTGCCCACAACATCACGCTGTGTAAATGACTATATGGTTCTCTCATTCAAGAGGAGATGGAACAATAGGTTGGAATTTTAGATTTAATGATAGCCACACTTTCCTGTTGATAAAAAAAGAAGAGTACACAGTATGAAGCACTTACTTCTGAAGGCAACCAAGAGAAGTATCTGAGTCATAACATTTCCTTAAAATTATACACATCTAAACATCCATCATGCAAACTAAACAATCAAAAGAAGAGAGTCGAAAAAAAATTAAATATTTTATGAGATCAAATTTCTCTAATAAGAAAAGCAGCAGACACAAATAACTTCAAAAACATGAATAAACCTAATAAAATAATAGAAGAAAACAGAAGACGTAAACGAGGGTAGGTTCTGTGTGTCACTGACTTGTGGGTTATTTATTAACTATTGTTAAGTTCTTGCTGCTCTTACTCTAATAAATCTTTTTTTTAAAAAAAGGTGCTTATAAACAGCAAACACACAAAACACAGAATTTAAAAGTTCCATAAACCACGTGTCTGACTGAGAAAAATTGTTTTTAAATAATACTGTTTATTTGGCAGCATTATTTTCTTCTTCATTACTTAAACTGAGTACCCAAATGTGGGAGGGGAGAGATGAATGAAAAAAGCTCAGGTGCCTAATTTAAAAATCTTCTTACAAATGTAATTCTCAGTTAAATCAATGGAAGCTGTGTGTCTGACAAAGGCAGAATTAATCCTTGATAATAGCTAGTTGATAAATGAAAGACAAGAAAGGAGTAAGATAATTTAAAGATGGGCTCGTAAAGAGAATTTCTCTTAAGGGGACAAGAACAAAGCATAGCACAGAGGACAAAGATAAGAAAAGGAAAAAGTGGAAAGCAGAAAATAGAATACAAAAATATATCAAATGTATGAAATATCTCTTACTAAAATTGTGTTTATAAAATGTATTTCACAGTAATTGTATTATTTTTTTTGAAAAATCCTGTTTGTTTGGGACAACAAAATGTTAATACAGATGACACTTGGGTCAAAGTAATGTTTAAATACTTCAGGTTAACTAACAAAGCCAGCATTTTAAAACATTATATGTCACTGCAGTAAGTAAACTTTTCCTCACAAATTTCATGCCCTGGAAGTAGAACTATACAGCTCTTCTAGTGACAAGGGAGGAAAAGAATAGCAAATGTTCCACCCTACCAGTAAGTATGCACACACCTCCTAGCAGAAACAGTTTAATGTTTTAGACATTTATCTTGCACAGGGGATGTCAGTGGACAGGCAATTACTTCTCAATGGAGCCCCAATGAATGGGACATGGTATAAGCAAGAGGCCTGCTCTGTGGCTCTCTACAGAGATGTAGAACCTTGCTATGTCATGATAAGGTGTGTACCTTCATTTCTTATGAAGCAGCACAAAAATAAGTGTGGGATGTAACTTTTAACTTAAAAAAAAGCTTTAAAAAAGCAAAGCAAAATACTGAGTCAATTATAGCCTTTTATCTAATTAAGCAGATTCTTTTCTGTGTCATCATTCATATACAAGAAGATAAAACTAGTTTCACATTATGAATCGATACACACCACCACTAGGCTCCAACCCTGCAAAACATACACATATGCTTAATTTTACATATAATGTAGTCACAGTAAGTAGAGTTAAGCACATATATGTCTTTGCATAAGAGCTCTAATTCGAAGGATTCAGAGATTTGAATCAGTTTTCTTGATGTGTTTTAAATTCAAGTATATTTTATATATATATTAACAAAAGTGTAAAATGCAGAGAGTAATCTGTTTAACTCACCTTTCCACCATACTGCTCCAGCTTTTGTAATGCAACAGTGATTTGCTCTTTGAATTTCTTGTCCATTAGCCTCTTTGAAATCTATTGGAAAACATAAAATATAACTATAACTTGGAAAGAAAATTATTTTAATACAATGTATGAAAACTGACTACATTTATTTTTGCTTTAGCATACTGTTTTACCTTGGTTCAGGAAAATGAAAGCAAAAAGAATAATTACTTTATCCCTAGTAGCCAATGCCAAGTAAGATACATGGTTAAAAGGTAAGATGAAAACAAAGTTTTCCAGAATGAAAAACATAGCTTTGCAGAAAATGATCAGCTAATGCAATTTTGGGTGGCACTATAATATCCACGGACAGCCAAGCAGCTTTTATGTTTGTTTAAAACTATTTTTGATGCAGAAGTAGGGTGTCAAATGGAATACAAAATAGTTGTTGGGAATAGTGTCTGGATGAAGAGTACACATGCATTTTTTCTGTTGTGCACACAAAATGAGCCAGCTTACTGTAGTTAATTTCTTGGCAATTTTAATGAATTTCGTTACTAAATATCAATATTTAAAATTCATAAATAACTTTATAATAAACAACGTTGCTTCAAAACACAGCAACTACTTTGTCTGTCTTCAGGGAGTTTTGTGGTAAAAATTGTCCATTGGATCTAGTAGTAATATACTGAATATTAGAATAATAATTACAATAAACGATGGATCTCTGTTAAATGTATTTCATAGTACAAATGAAAATCTCATCATCTATGTGTGAAATTGCACAAAGTCTCTAAAGAAAAGTAATATAAGACATGCACAGACATAGGTACTTCATCAATTTTTTGTACTTACACTTGTAAGTAGATGTTTCAGCTGATCATTAAGAGCAGGGCCAACAACGGCACTCAGCTGTACCAAAGCATTCAACCCTCTTTCAAATACTTCACCATTTGAATGGGCCTTGTAAGGGGGAAAAATTAATAATTTACTATGAAAGAGTAATCAACTATCAAATTTTTGAGCTATCTAAAACACCAATTACTCAAGTACAATAATTAGCACTGACAAACTAATGTTTGATGAGATTTAGAAACACAAGTCCGGTATTTTTGAACATATTAATATCAAACATGTAACATTTAAATGCCAATGTATTTTTAGGAGAAACACAAACAATACAGCATAGCAGTCAGTTGTGGATGCTGATCACAACTTTCAGATGTTATTCAGAATGAAACAGGGATGTAAGCAAGTAGTCGACTACTTGACTACCCAATAAGTATAAGCTTATTGGATAGTTGAGTGGAGTACTCAACTACTCACTCACTCTCCCCGCCCCATCGCCACTTCCTCTCAGTATGTTACCAAAGCTCCTTCAGGACTTAAAGCGGGGGGTGAGATGTAAATTAAAGTAGCTTACTCACTGAAGAACTACAGAGAGGTTCATATATACTGATTCAAAATGGATTTCTGGAATTAGGAAAATAAAGAAAGCATTTGTGCCTTAAAAAAAGCTGTGTTTGAACTGACACAGAGCCTTCTTTCTGTTCCAGCAAAAGGACAGGACCTTCCATACAAGGGAGTCCCAAACCATGTGATATACCTTTGGCCTTCAAGAGCCTTATAAGACTGACTGGGTGACTCCTGGTATGTCTAAGTGTGTGGTTAAGTCAGTTTATTTTTTATTATGTCAAATATGTAACGCTTTCACCTAAAAAGAAAATGCGCTTGCTTAGAAAGAATTGTGAGGTGACTTGTAACTGCTAGTAATACATTGTTCATAGTCTCTGAAGAAAAAAATATCTATTTTACTGATGCTGGCCATTAGGCAGACTGGATTTCTGAGGCTGTCCAATGTAAGGCAGGGCTAGTGACAGCCTTAAAACTCATGCTCAGATAGTAGTTGGTTAAGGGTTCCTATACAAAGACTGATTATGGAGAGAGAACTGCGAACTGCTGAGGGGAAGAGGGGGCAAGGGACCAATAGCCAACAGGCATAGTTGTCTCAGACCCTGCGCTTTGGGACCCAGGGGACCAGTAGCGTTCCTGGCATCAGCAGTATGGATTGCTTCCCTATCCTCTGCACTCACTGGCAGCAGAAAGTGCAGTGACCCAGCTCCAGCCTGCTCTGTTACCCTTGCTGCCAGCTGTGCCGCTCAGGGGAGGGGATTTGGGAAGGGGTAGAACTTCCCCCCTGCACTCACCGGTGGCAGGAAGTGGAGCGACATGTCTGGGAGTTGGGGAAATGGAGCAGGCTGGGGCTGGGTTGCTCCATTTCCCACACAGTCAGTGAATGCCTGAGGGACCAACCTCTGCTACAGGTAGGTGCCAGGCCCTCTACTAATCCCCCGGGCCATGTCGCTCAAGGCAAGAGCTTGGTAGAAGGAGTGAAGTGGAGGTGGGCATAGAAAGAGGCAGTGCCCTCCCTCAGGCTAGAAGTAACACAGGGAGGAGTTATTTGGCGAGCCAGCCACACGGCAGGTGCTCCCCTTGTGTCCCTCTCCAGCAGTTGCCACTGTTTCTCCTAGATCGTGGATCAAAATAAGTCTTAGGTGGAAGACAGGAATCCAGGTGCCTAGTATAAGGCTGCAGTGTGCATACTCAGAGGCAGATACTTGTATGCCTAGGGAACTTTTAGTGGAAATTTAGCTCTGAGTGAATTTAAGTTCCTATAAGACTGGGCAGCAGCCAAGTGAGGAGGGTTAGAGCTTGCAGAGGCACCTAAATCCTGGATTTTGGAGCGTAAGTATTTTTGAGGATCTGGACCATGGTATTACAAGCCCCTATTCCAACCTAAGAC